CCCCCCCCCCAACCCACTGCGACTTGTTTTTACTACTTGTCTGAATCCAAAATTCTTCCAACGACAGGATCACACTAGATTCTGTCTGTTAAGCTTTAGGCTTTCGTCTATGCCTTGCTTACGGGTCCTCTAACACAGCGTCTAATCAAACGGAGTTCAAAACTGTTGTAATCATCGTGCGCAAAAAAGTCTCCTCTTCTAGGCCAGTACCTAGTTTATATACGATTAACTCAAATCCCTGAAGTCATTGGCCCTTTACATTGAGGTAGAGAGAACGAAGATAGCTTTGTATAAAACCTCAATTAAAATGATGACCTTCTTACCCCTTCCTCCCTCCCCGCCCCCACCCCACTTACACCCTCCACTGCTGAATTTTCAGAATGATGAGCGGCAACTGAGATTTTCCCTTTGACTTGTTACTTGTGTCGTTAGTGATTGAGTGGGTATTTCAAAAACACGAAGGCAGCACGGTCTAAAAACGGATGAAAACCGCCAGATTAGAGGGCGCGCTGCTAACTTTTAACAGCAATCTCCTTCCGCTTTCTCTCTGTTCCCATGAACATCCAGTTAGCCAAATTTTTTTATGCATCTATGCCTTTTCGCTTCACACAGGAACACAGAGTCATACCAATCATTCAACACGTTTTGGAAACAAACCTGGCTGAACAAAAATACGACCCTGTCTTCTGCAAAGATGTCACCATTAAAATAACGGAAGAGATCAAGGAACGAGTAAAGAAACTGTGTTATCCTCGATACAAATTTGTTTGTCACGTGATTGTGGGTGACGTCAATAGACAGGACGTAAGAGTTGTGAGCCGGTGCGCATGGGACGCAGCGGTAGATCGTTATGCGCAGTTTGAATATCGAAGCTTTTATCTGTACGCAGTAGGAATTGTTTATGGAATTTACTGTGAATAAGATGTGCTATTGAAGCTGCTTTAGGATTTAGATATGAGCATCTTTTCTTCCTTCCTTTCCTTTTCAGAGACAAACATGAAAGTAAAGAAATACCAAATAAACGGTCGCGTTCTAATGATACATCGATTTAAGAATAGACTCACTAAATTATATGCACCAGCATATAAGATGAAGAGTATCTGGTTCCTGGTATAATTACTTTTATAAGAGTTTTCTCTGTCAATCAAGTTTGATCAGAAAAATCCTGTATTGAAGACGCAACTATTAAAAAAGTCAACTACGTTCCCAATGACTTATATTATAATGACATAGGAGGAAATAATGGAGAGAGAAACTGGGAACGAAGTTGGAGATGGTTCAATGATCGACGCAAAATGGTTCACCTTTTATGAAGAAAACTCGAATGAAGAGAGGTCTGAACATATAAATAAAAGTCTGTAAAAACTGATTGTTGAGTTTTTTGCTTGTTTGCTTGTTTGTATTTTTACTACCGTTTTGGACTTGAAATCTCCCCGCCCCCTCCGAAATATTCGATCCGTCCTTTGCCAACTGAACACCAGGAGCAGGTCATCTTATATGTCAGATCTGATTAAACGTCTTTGAAAATTTAGGAAATCTGCACAATACTCAGGCGTTAGTATCTCGTTCAAGCCATTATTGAGTTACTGTCGGCCTGCAGTGCAGGTGGCTTAAAGGGCAAATTAGCGATCCTTTAATCGACCGGCCATGTATGATTTAGAGTAAAGGTGGACGGTGGGGGAGGGGTGGGAAGGGGTGAGATAATTTCAATTTCTCCACTCCCTCTCCTCCCCTTCCTCTTAACCTTCGCTCATTTCCTTAGGACAATTTTTTCTCTCCCTAGCCTCGCGCTGCTGCAAAAATTAAAGATGGCAGCTCATGGCAGCTAAGGAAATAATGAGCATTTGCTCTCCAAAATACTACACCCAATGCCCCTTATTCAGGGAAACAATCTCGTGCCCAGAGTTTCTCTCCTTTGCCCTCCAAGGCAGAAGCTAGATTCGAGAGAAGACGGTCATGTGAAGAACCAAGGGAGACTTTTGTTTGAGTGGTTGCTTAACCCTTTATACCTTAACATCAGTAGGCATATTCTCCATACTTTTTTCTATACATTTTTTATGATACTGACTATGAGAATTTGTGTAACAATCAAGAGCTTCTTTAATTAGTGATAAGTTCCAATATTTCCGTGGCCTTAATGTGTGCTTCAAGGATGAAATTAGATGCTAGTCACTCTTAGGGGTAAAGGGTTTATATCGTTTTTGTCCAATTTCCTTACTGCGCGCGGCCGGCAA